GATTATTGTGTAACGACTTTTAGGTTTATATACTAAAACTAATTAATTAAAAACAAATATCGTAAAACCTTTAACAAAGCAATGTTCCCGTAACTCAGTGGTAGAGTAGTGGATTGCAAATCCATTTGTCGCTGGTTCAATCCCGGCCGGGGACTAGATTTTTTTTCAGTAAAATTTTTACAAAATATTGAAACTTTTAAGATCTAGAAATATGAGAAACATAAGAAGGTTTAAATTCTTATTTACAACTTAGCAAAAAAAAAAAAATTTCACTTTTTTTTTATAACAATTTTGGAAGAAAAATTTGCCGAAGTTTTATTGCCAATTTTTATTTAATTACAACCAGAAATTTAATTCATTACACCATTCTATAAAAAAAAATTATTAGAAAGACTGACCTTATTAATTGCCTATGCTCAAACTAAATTCATACCTATAAAGGGAACTTAGTTTATTACAACAATTTTGTCAAAACTGATGCAAAAATAAGTTTAGTATTATTGAATTTCACAAAATGAAAGAACTATATACATATTATAAGTCCAATAGATAAAAAAAAAAAATTTATAAAAATTTATATTTATATTTACAAAAACCATTTTTTTTTTTTTTTTTTAGTTAAAATTTTGATAAAAAAAAACAGAATCATTTTTTTTTACTAAAATAAGCGAAAAAAGAAAAACAAAAAAATTTACAACATTTCTGCAACTAAACAATAGCTTTCATCTAAAATAGATGAAAGTAAAGCTTGCCCTCTTGGAATTTCACCATCTTTATTTACAAATTTACCATCAACTTTTTGGCGATCAATTGCATCTAATTCTTCTTGTAAAATTCTTAGTCTCTTATTTAAGTTGACAGTATCCAAAACTTCATTCCTTATTTTATTAAGATCAAATTCATTACGAAGTAATTTCAAATCATTCCTTGTTTTAAGAATTTGATTATAAGTATCAAGTAGAGAGGGATCAACTGGTTCAAATTCACCATAAAGTTTACTTAAGAATCCTTAAATACGAATTTAAAAAAAAAAAAACTAGAAAAAAAAAAATAAATGTACCTAATGCTGCACGTGTAGTTGAAGCTAAAACTCTTGAAGTTGATTTTACAGAATCGCTGGGATTTTCAATGACTTTTCTTAAATAATAACTTCCCTCATCTAACGAAGCTTGTAGGGCATGGAGACTTGACAGGGATACAGAACGGGCTCCAGCTGCTATATCCTTTGTCACCGCACTTGCTTGAGTAACAATGCTGTCAGAAACATAGCGTGCTTTTGAAAGTGCAATTTCAACCAAATCGACTTCTTTATTACCAGCTCTTTGATTTTCAATTTGAATTAAACTTAAATAAATAATTTTTTTTTAAATCCCCCTCTATTTAAAAACTTTTATACCAGTCGTGAACAAGATCATATGCTTCTTCTAACAAAGAATGAAGTACAGCTTGGCCACTGGGAATGGATCCATCTTCGGCGTAAAACATTCCATTTTCCTTCATTCCTTCAATTTCAGCAAGTTGATCTTGAAGTAAACGAATTTCAAGTGGTTCAATTGGGATTGGGCTGTAATAGATATAAATAAAAAAAATAAAAATGTTTGAATTTGGATTATATTTCTACCCAAAATCGTCTTCATACGGTGCAGTATAGTTTTCTTTAATCATGTCAAGCGTCTGAATGATTCTTCTAAGCCTTGATTCGAGTGGGATCAATTCAGATGAGACTAAAAAGTTTATAAAATGAGGTTAAAAGAATTTATTGCACTTAAATACCAGTAGGTCCTCTTTCTTGAATGTGTCTAACAAGTTTATAATTTCTGGCCATTAGTGAAGCTAAGATGCTTTGTCCGGAAGGAATACGTTCGTTTCTCTTCCAACCTATTGGCACATACAATCCATTAACACAATGTTCGTTTTCAATATTATGTAGCTGTTCTTGCAATTTTAGTAGTCTTTCCGAATCATCCGCGTTGTAAAACGGTTGGCAATCCAGTGCTTCCAAGGAACGTTTTATTTCAACTAAATTTTCATAAACTGGAACTAAATCGTCGCTAAATAAAAAAATTATAATAAACCTTTATCAAGAAAACTAAAAGTTCTTACTCTATTCTCCACATTGGCAAAATTAACTTGTCGAATCCTTCCCAAACATTTTTCATAGTGTTTTCCAACATTCTCTTTTCTTTTTCCAATTTTGCTAATCTATTTTCATACATAAAGTTTGCCTTCCATGTCCTTTCAGCAAGATCTTGAATTTCAGTTAACTTTGGAGCTTTTTCTTTGTGCTTGTTTCGGAGATCATGTTGAAGGTTCATAAGAACTGGCATAACAGCTTCATTTCGCGTAGACTTTTCTCTTCTCGTCATTTTTTTTTTTTTTAGTTGACTAGGGAGTTTGGAACAATTTGGTGGTATATGAATTATGATACTCCTTTGCTGCGCCACAACGATATTTCTAAAAATTAAAAAATTAGCTTCCAGTTCAATTCCCACTGAAGAGGAATAAGGAAAATAAGAAGGTTATTAACAATTTTAGCAGTACAACTGTAAAAGTAATGTAGCACGTCAGCTTAATTCACATCATAAAAAAATAAATTTAAACCAAAAAAAAGAATAAAAAGTTAATTATTTGCCTTCAAAAAAAAAGGAATAAAAAAAATTTTTAAAAATTGTAAAGTAATACGTGATTAGTTTTTTTGTTCCAAATTCCTCGATCTCGATGATGAACTGATGATAATAAACTCTGAAGATGAATTGATGATAATAATCTCTATATCTACCGTGTTGGTGCTTTTTATGAGGTAGGAATTTTTTTAAACTATCTATTCAAAGTGGTAAACCAATACTATGTGTTAAGTCTTACACTAATTTTTAATTCAATTAAATTTTTATTTTTTATTCCTTTTTTTAAATTATTTTTGTATTAAAGTGTAATTGAAGAACTAAGAAAAAATCAATCTATAATAGGTTTTCCCCTACCTTATTGGGGGCAGTCCAGTTAATAAAAAATAAGTAAAGCTTTGTTTAAAAAAATCTGGTTAAACACTAGGCAGCAACTATAAAAGTTGATATTTTAATAATTAATTTTGAAACTGCAAACACTTAGAAACATCATATATGACTATGAGAAAACTTAATTTTTTGCTGGTAATTTATTACAAAAAAATCTTGGAATCTATGTTATTGATAATAAAACATTTTGACAAGTTTATATCCTTTGCATTTGGAATTTACTGATTGTTTTTAAACTCTCAGTGTTATCAGAATTTACAATAATTCGTGTGGAAGAACTGAAAAAGAACCATTTTAATAATTTATTTCCAAGTTTGAGGTCGCAATTAAATCTGGCGATAAAACCATTGTTGTAGAACACAACAGTTCCCTATCTTCAATTCCACTAAATAACAACTCAAAATTTGTTGAATATAGTCGGTGTCATTTTTAATTGTGTTAGCGAAGAAGTTAGGATTTAAAAAGTGCTAAGATTGTTGTTAGTGCGTAATTTCTTTTCTGGTATTTCTGCATCATCTGAGTATAAATTAGATGAGATTATCTTTAAAAGTGCCCCAATCCACCTTAAAAATCATTACATTTTTCATGAATGATGGTTCATTTGAATTTTAAAACCCCATTCCTTGTAACACAGCTTAATTTTAGTTAAATTCAACAATCCTGCTTTTATTTTTGTTATCTGCTACTGTTTTTTTGATAACCTATGGATTTTAATAATGAAATTAAATATTTATTGAAAGTTTTTGAGCAAAAAGAAAGTGAACAAAACTGGGAAAAGTTTGAAAAAGAATTACAAAAAGTTTCCGAGTGGATATTAAACGATTTTGATATATTAAACATAAAAAAAATTAAAACTCCTATTGTAAATTCGGTACTTGCATTCATTTTTTTTTATTTTGACTTTTTGTTTACAACTAGCTACTTTCAATTTTTTTTCCGAATTGGTAGATACAATCAGAACGTACTAGGCTTTCCAGAACAGCTATGATTTTAATTAAAGATTTATCTGCGGCTTACGCTGAACAATTTGAACAAATATCTGATATATTTTTGCCCGTAGGTAATAATTTTTTACAAAAAAATGCTATTTTTTTTAGGCAAGCTTGTAAAATAATGTATCTCTTTCTAGTATTGAAAAATTGTGCAAAAGCAAATAATGTTTATGTAAATACAGCTTTTGAAACAATGCTTGCGTCTATAGAAAATTCCAAAGTTCCCAATCTGCTCCCTCACATATTAGATGTTCTAAATAACGCAAATAAAATTTTAAGATTAAAAGCAACGGCTTGTCTAGTAAAAATCATGGAAGTGAATGACGCTGATAATTTATTTACTAGATTAGACCTTGTTGAGCAATCAATTAGGATTTCTATTATGGATAGAGATGATAAGGTTTGTTGTGTAACGAAGTTATATTTCTTTAATATTTAATTCTAGGTTCGAAACTTAGCAAAGGAATCTTTCAAACTTTATGAAGAACTTTTTCCCCAATATTTATCAAAGTAAACCTAAAGATAGCATTTTCATAATTAATTTTTTTTTCTGCTACAGATTTATTAGTTCACTCAACGAGCAAGCCAAAAAATATTTAAAGTTAAATATAGCGAATATTTCATATAATAACAATATACCTAACAAAAATCAATCACCAAAAAAGTCTCAACCTAAATCAGTTAAAACAAAGTCAATTTTATCTCATACTCATTCTCAAAAAACCTCTTCTATGTATAATAGAGTTTTAGTAGAGGAACAAGGTTCATCGAACCAATCAAAACTTGCAAGACAAAACACTTTTGATGTCGCACCGCGATCAAAATCTACAACTTCTTTAATTTCGATTGATGAACCCCTTACTCGAGTAAGAACTCTGTCCAGCGTTCCCAGCCATCATCAAAGTCAGCCAATTTTAAATCGACTGCATACATTTTCTAATACTTCGCATAAGTTGGACTCCGGTGCACAGAGAGTTCTTTTACCTGATGGCAGCGGATCTGTTGGTAATCTCCAAAGGAAGCAGTTAAACAGTAAAACGAATGCAAAACCTTTAAGAGTGTCTCGACCGGTTTCCCCAGCAGATAGTGATACTTCAAGTCCAGAAGTAAAATTAAGAAGGCATGCAACTCAATTTTCTGCAGCGTCTTCAG